GCGTCGTGAGCCTGCGTCTCGTCCTGCGTCGCCTGTTCGCGCTGTTCGCACTGATCGTCGTGTTCCGCGTCAGCCTCCTCCTCCTGTCCCCAGCACGCACCAGATGGCACTTCGTCCTTCCTCTGTTCCACAGCGTGTCCCTCTGCCGTCTCCTCCTGCGTCCTCTCTTCCTAACGTCTCTGACCCGCCGTCAGACCTTGCTCGTGCTGCCAGTCCTACTGTCACACGTCTTCTAGCCACTGTTGTCACTGACCCTTCGTTTGAGTCCACTGCTACGTCTGCCCTTGTTGCTGAGCTTGTTGACTTTGCTGCCGCCTGTCGCCTCGACTACGCCGCTAGTCTTGTTGCTGAGTCTTAGTCTGACTGTCCTCCGTCCGTCGGGGGTGAGTATGCTCTTGGCACGGACGTCCTTGAGGACAGAGAGGAGGACTTTGAGTGTTTTGCAGCTTCTGTACCTCATCTCGTGTCCATGCCAATTGCACCTGAGGGAGACCCGGATGCACCAGACATCCCGACCCTGCGCTCTTACGCAGAGGCGATTACGGGTCCCTACTCCTTTCAGTGGCAGACAGCCATGGACGCAGAGATGGCATCCTGAAAGTACACAGGCACTTACGTCGACGAGGTTCCCCCTCCTGGGGCGAACATAGTCGATGGCATGTGGATTTTCAGGGTGAAGCGGCCGCCAGGTTCTCCGCCTGCCTTCAAGGCTCGTTACGTTGCACGAGGCTTCAGTTAGCGACAGGGAGTTGACTTCTTCCAGACCTTCTCCCCTACCCCGAAGATGACCACTCTTCGGGTACTGCTGCACGTCGCCGCTCAGCGTGACTACGAGCTTCACTCTCTTGACTTCAGCACAGCTTTCTTACAGGGCAGCCTGCACGAGGAGATCTGGCTGCGCCGCCCACCTGGCTTCACTGGGTCGTTTCCTGCAGGTACCCAGTGGAGCCTCCGGCGGCCAGTCTACGGTCTCCGCCAGGCACCTCGCAAGTGGCACGACACACTGAGGACGACTCTTGCGGCTCTTGGGTTTGCTCCTTCGACTGCTGACCCGTCGCTGTTTCTACGCACCGACACTTCGCTGCCGCCGTTCTACATCCTTGTGTACGTCGACGACTTGGTCTTTGCCACTGCTGACACTGAGGGACTGGCCCTAGTAAAGTCAGAGCTGCAGAAGAGACACATGTGCACAGACATGGGTGAGCTGTGCAGCTATCTTGGCTTGCAGATCACCCGGGACAGAGCACGGCGCACCATTACCTTGACTCAGTCACACATGGTGCAGCAGGTCCTTCAGCGCTTTGACTTCCAGTACTGCTCGCGACAGTCCACTCCTCTGCCTATCGGTCACTCGCTCTCAGCTCCACCGTCGGACGAGTCCGTAGAGCTGAGTGGCCTGTATCCAGAGCTTGTGGGCTGCCTCATGTACCTGATGACCTGCACTCGACCTGACCTTGCTTACCCTCTTAGCATCCCGGCACGCTACGTTGCGCCCGGGAGACACCTACCAGAGCACTGGAAGGCCGCTAAGAGGGTGATGCGCTACTTGTGCAGTACGTCGGGCATGGGGCTCGTGCTTGGAGGACGGGGTCCAGTTGTCCTCACTGGACACGCAGACGCCTCTTGGGTTGACGAATTGGCTACGCACCGGTCGTCACAGGGTTACACTTTCAGCCTTGGCTCTGGCTCTGTTTCTTGGCGGTCTACCGGCTCGTCTTCTGTTCTCAGTTCCAGTTATGAGGCTGAGATCTACGCAAGGGCCATGGCTGCACAGGAGTTACGCTGGCTCACCTACCTACTGACAGACTTGGGAGAGCCGCCTCGTTCTCCTCCAGTTCTGTACGTCGACAACAAGGCCATGATTGCCTTGTGTCAGGAGCACAGACTGGAGCACAGAACGAAGCACATCGCTCTGCGTTACTTCCTTGCTCGTGAGTTGCAGCATCGTGGTCAGCTTCGTCTTGTTTACGTGGCCTCTCGGGCCAACACTGCTGATATCTTCACCAAGGCACTTCAGCCTTGTGATCATCAGTGTTTCTGTACTGTTCTAGGCTTTGTGCCTACTTGGCCTCACTTGCTCACTTCTTGACTTTGCTTGTACTGTGATCTATATACATATACCTGCATGCTTACACTTGCTAGGTTTTGATCACTGTACTGCTTGTTCTGCATTATATAACTGTGCATGTGAACTGGCTTTGTGGCCATTTGCTTGTGCTCGGAGTGTGTGGTGACTTTGTGATCCACCCTGAGTTTGCTTTGTTTTTTGACTGGTCTTGTGACCTCTTGTTCTCCCCCACTTTGACTACGGGGGTGTGTCAAACTTATATGTTGCATGTTGTGTAGGCTGTAGTGGGGGTAGCCCATATGGGGTACAACCCAATTAGGGTTTGCTACTTGTACTCCTGCATGCTGCTAGTTCATTCATTCTCGTTCATTCTGCTGACAGGTTTGGGTTAGGGTTCTCTCTTGTTGGAACTTCACTTCTTGGAAACCCCTTTCGTTCTAGCATGGTTCATGCCCAAGTTGGCTCCTAAGATTCCTAGGCTTTAGGAGGAGGTTCTAAGACTACTAAAGCTTCCGCTAGTAGCTTAGACCATTCTAACAGCTAGCTAGTTTGCTATTTATACCCTTGTATCTCTACTTTTTTATTATCTTGTTCTCTTTCAACTTTTTTAACAAGGTCACTACAAAGACTTTATTGTCTTCCTATAACTTAGCAGTCTTATCCTATCCACTTCGATTCACGTATTATAACAACAAAACATAGTTGTGCGGAAAACGAATATCGAAGCTGTGACTAACTGAACTGAGAACACAATGAAGGCACGTGCTGTTTTAGTGACTACCCTAGCTAGGCGGGAACCTCGGGAATACGAGGTTGGGTGCAGGTTTGGCGAAAGGAAAACCAAAGGCAGCGCGAATGAGCCTCGGAATTGTGGATGTCGGCCGAACGTGCGAAGTCCGAAAGTGTTGGGGTTGTACGCCTAGAAGTCAAACCGATAAGGAAAAGGAATTTTCCTTACAATAAGCAAAGGGGAAATTAATGGCCTCGTTTACATATCCTCGTTTTCTCCTGCCGATACACTAAGGGCGGGTCCAGCGCGTACGTTTTCCGTACATTACAGTTCATCCAGTGCGGTAATATGTATTGCGTCACGGTTTAAAACGGTGCAATTTAAGAACCGTTGTGCACCGCCTGATCTATTTTCAAACCACTACGAATGAACTGTATAGTACCTGTAAACGTACGCGCTGGACACGCCCTAAGGCCAACATCGGGATTTTCGGCTGTAAATCTGCTTTCACGGCGTATCCCTGGGTGGTGGCAGGGCCACTGTAGCTGGCACTGTTGGTGGCATGCGCATTTTCCGCCCCCATGTGTTTTTGGGAAAGTTGCCACCAACCCTGCCAGCTACAGTGGCCCTGCCACCAGCCAGGGATACGCCCTCACTCGCAAGACAAGCCACCGGTTTTAGCTCCTTGGCACAATTTCGGATGCGACACTGGTTCCAACGGTCCGATGACGCCATTGGCTCGCTAGTTCTGTCCCCTCCGCTAGGCGATTTGTTCGGCGGCCGCGCTTCGTAAATCAGCAGCCCGGCGCTCCGATGAACTTTCTTCTTGCACGACGCGAAATCCCTTCCTTCAGGATTCAGGCAAAACCGCGCGCGCCAAGTCAACAAACAGCAACAACCACAGTAAGGTAAAAACGTCTAGAACCCACCCAGAATCAGAGGAACCAAAGCCAATCCATCTGAATCCATATTATTTGTCGCCGAAAGGGTGCTTCATTGCTTTCATTGTTGCTCTTGCCTCTCCCTCAACTTGCATTGCATCACCAAACCAACCAAAAGCAGCCTCCCCCTTCCCTCTCAATCCTCCCCTCCCCACCCCACCTCTCCACCCCCCTTCTCCCGCTCCATCCCTCCCTGCACCAGGGCTGTCGATTGGTTTGGAGCCAGAACTTGAGAGGCTGAGGTGCCCCAAAAGTTGCCCTGAAATTTACGGGCTGAGAGCAAACCTGGCACTTGAAATCAGGGCTACCAAATTTTTTGCACTTTCGCTAAGGAAAACCTTCATTTCTTCGGGTCCGTCCGTTATCCTAGGAAAACTACTAAGATCCAGCTAGGCAATAGGCTGAGGTACGAAACATGTCGATGAATTTGACGGGGATGGGAAAAGGAAGAGGGGAGTGGCTGGGAGGAGGTGGGGGGACTGGTGAGGGAATGGGAGGGAGGGAGGTATTAGTATGGGACGATAAGGGCTAACCGCGGGATCTGCACTTGAAATCCGGGTTAGGCCCACAACCAGCACTTTGCGGGGACGGGCTGCCCTCAAAGCCAACCCTTAAAATTCGGAAGCTGGGCCGGACCCAACCCTTAATGTTCAGGGCATTAAGGGCATTTGCCCTTGAATCGTCAGCCCTGCCCTGCACCTCCATTTCCCTATCACTACTGTTGTATCTCCACACACACCCTTCGACCGTACAGAGGCAACATTACCAGAGATGACGATGACGGCGCCGCATTCCAACAGCACTTACATGCCCACGCTTTACCGTTTTATCGCCTGAATTTGGCCTGTTTTGGCCTGCTAACGGCCATTAGTTCATCGCATCAGGCATGGAGCTTCAATCAACCCTAGCTACCTTCGTTGCTCCAGACTCTCGGACATCATATTGACCTTTGCAGCTAACTAGAACTGGGCTGTCTTGACCCCCTCCTCAAGTTTATGCCTCGCAATTCGACTGTCCTCCAGCCCGCTAACTACTTTCACTTTGGAAGTGCAAACGCAACTCGCGTCGCTCGACGACGACACGTAGGAACCGCATTATAATTATCCCAGTTCCCAAGATCAGACGTAGCTACCAGTTCCCGCGTCGCCATCGATAATAGCAACCCTTCCACATCACCTCTCTCGCGTTCATCCACCCGTCGTAGCCCGAGCCCCGAAGCACGTGATTGTAATCGCCGCCGCTTCGCTCCGGTCCCTAGATTATGACCGACTCGCGCCAGATGCCGCTCCTAGCGGAGGACGGAGCGAGCGGCGGAGGAGCTGCCGGAGTTACCAGTAACTTAATCGGCGGTTTTAACGGCGGGCTGAACGGGAGTTTCAAGATGGGCGGGGGCAAGTGGCGGTACCTGGCGGGCGCGGGCCTTCTAGTGGCGCTCGCGCTCTTTGCCCCGCTCGCCTACCAGATGTGGCAACCCAGCGGCGACGTCACCTTGATTCCCTCGCAGTGGCAAGGTACCCGACCCGTGCGCTTGCAACTCGACGCATAGCTTGCCATTCCAACCATAGCTTGGGGCTCGAACCACCGACCGATCACTTTTCTTCACAACCTCATCCCTTCTCTCCGCTGCTTCCACCTCTGTCACTGCGCTCGCCTCCCCCATTCGCCATCAACCCTTTTTTCCAATACCCCTTTTGGTTTTTTTCCCTTTTCCCCCTTTTCTCCCCCTCCCCCTGCACCTTCCCCCGTGCGCCATCCCCCCCGCGCTCCCAGGCGTCATGCGCCTGTCCACCGCGCCAACGGGCACGGACGCCTGGAGCACGCTCATATTCTCCGCCGCTAATCCCGCCGGCCGCGCCGCCGCCCTTGGCCGGGAGGCGGCCAGCGGAGAGCCGTGGGATGCGATGGAGATGGAAGCATCTGAAGGGCTGTTTCTCGCCGGCGCCGCAAACGTCATGCCGTCACCTGATGACGTGTTTTTGGCAACCGATGACGTCAGCCCGCCAGCTGACAACGAAGGCTCCACAGGCGAAACTCAGAGCGCTCCGCCGAACGTAAAAAACAACGAGAGACCTACTAATGAGAAGTCTAATACTGGAGACATTGGTAGTGTCACTGCGCTTGAAGCCACCGCGGTTACCAGCGAAACTGCTGACGAGGGGGATGGGTTGCGCGGGGAAGAGGGGGAGGCGGAAAACCGGGGGAACAAAACCGGCGCATCAACCGCGGACATGCTGCGGGGATCTCCCCGCGCGGATGCGCCACCCGCGGGAACAGCGGACGGGAAAGAGCAGAGGCGGGACAGTGGCGGGGGAAGGGAGACGGTGAAGCCGTGGGGGAAGCGGAAGGGGTTTGACGCGGCGCTTCCGCGCGCGACAATGAAGCTGCTGCGGAGAGTGGCGAAGGCGGGCCTGCCGGTTCCGCGCGACCCGTGGCTGTGCGCGACCCGTGGCTGTGCGCGACACGTGCTGCTGACGTGGAGGGATACACGCGACCTTCAGAGTAGGTGGAAATGGAAATGTGTGTGAGGAGAGTGAGGAGATGTATGTGCGCGGGGGGATGCATGGGGGGGAGGAGGGGGGGGGGGGGGGGGTGCATTGGGGGGTGCACTGGGCCCCTTCCGCTCCCCGCGCAGGAACGTGCGCGGGTACTACGTGCTTCTCAAGTCGACTCGAAAACCATCTCCCTTCCCCGTTCCGCCCCACCCCTTGTGTCTCCCCCGCGCAGGGAGGTGCGCGGGCAGTACGTGTTCCGCGGCAGCACGGTGGACCTGGCGGACTGCCGCCTCTTCCACGCCGCGCTCACCACGCCCTCGCCCTTCAACGCCACCTTCTCCACCCTCTCGCGCTCCGACCCCCTCCCCCTCCCCCCTTCCGACCCCTCCTATCCCTCCCCCGAATCCTCCTCTTCCTCCTCCTCCTCCTCCGCCTCTCCCTCATCCCCGTCCCCCTCCCCCTCCGCCTCATCTCCCCCGATCCCCAATATCGCCTTTCTCTTCCTCACGCGCGGCCCCCTCCCCCTGGCGCCGCTGTGGGAGCGGTTTTTCCGCAACCACTCGGCGTACTTCAGCGCCTACATGCACGCCGCCACGCCTGGTTACCGCGTTGAGCCCTGGGTGCGGCGCTCCCTCAACCTGCGTGCCGTGCCCAGCAAGCCCGTGTTCTGGGGCACGCTCAGCATCGTTGAGGCCATTAAGGTGAGCACGAGGGGCGCGAACAGAGGGAAGGTGGGGGGGTGGGGGGAAGGGGGGAGGGGGAAAGGGGGAGTGGGGAGGGTGGGGGGAGGGAGAGAGGCTTTCATGCATGCAGCGGCGCCCAGGTACCACGTGTGAGCATGGGCAATGGGCGTGGGCGTGGGGGTGGGGATGGGCAAGGGCATGGGCAAGGGCAAGGGCATGGGCAAGGGCATGGGCAAGGGCATGGGCAAGGGCATGGGCAAGGGCATGGGCATGGGCAAGGGCATGGGCAAGGGCATGGGCATGGGCAAGGGCATGGGCAAGGGCATGGGCAAGGGCATGGGCAAGGGCATGGGCATGGGCATGGGCATGGGCATGGGCATGGGCATGGGCATGGGCATGGGCATGGGCAAGGGCATGGGCATGGGCATGGGCATGGTGGGCATGGGCATGAGCATGAGCATGGGCATCGACCTTCACGCCGTGCCCAGCAATGGCCAGCATTGCTGAGGCTATCAAGGCGAGGAATGAAGGCAGGCGGTGGAGGGAGGGGTGTGTTACTTACATGCATGCAGCATCACCTGGGTACCACGTGAGGCCCTCCTTGGTACTCATAGGCCTCTCCATAAGGCCTCTCAATGCTCACTGCTCCTTGTATCCTCGCCTTTCCCTGTTCTCTCTCCTCTATTCTGCGCATCTCCTCATCCGTATCTCATCAGCCCACCTGTCCATTGTCGACAAGTTCTGCCTCCGCAGCCCACCTGTCCATTGTCAACATATCCTCATCCCCCCATCACCGTCCCCGTCCCCTCCCCTTCTCCCTCCCCAACACCTCCCATCTCCATCCTCATTCCCATCCCCATCCCCATCCACCACAACAGCGGCTCCTGGCTACAGCCCTCTTAGACCCGCACAATGTGCGCTTTGTGGTGCTGAGCGAAAGGGACGTGCCGCTGCATTCCTTCCCCACGGTGTACCGCTACCTGCTGGCGTCCAACCAGTCGTACGTGGGCGGCTACCGCAAGTTCTTCCGCGACAACAAGGCCGCCATCAAGGTCTTCCCGCGCTCGCTTGTGATCGACGGCTGGATGCACGGCGAGTGCTGGGTCGAGATGGCCAGACCGTGAGTGCTGCTGCCCCTAAGCCAACCCTAAGCCACACCGTTTTGCTACCTACACGCTGCCATGTGCTGCGCTGCCATGTTATATGCTGCCCTGCCATGTTCTCCTGTGTGCTAGCCTTGCTTTGCATGGTTGTATGATGCATGGTATGATGCATGTTGTCTGATGCATGTGGTATAATGCATGGTCGTATGATGCATGGTCGTATGATGCATGGTTGTACTGCCAGCCGATTCAGCGGCCATGTGCGTCTCATCTCTCCCCCTCTTCCTCCCAACCCACTCCCATCTCCCCTAACCCCTTGAAATCCATGTATGTGTTGGCATGCAGGCATGCAATGGAGGTGGTTCGGGACTGAGAGTGGCACGAGAAGGGGCGGGACTACTGCCAGGTGATGCAGCGCCCCACATGCTGTGTGGACGAGAATCTCATCCACAACATCATCACCTCCCAGCACCCGCACCAAGTCGCCAACCGCAGCGTCATGAGCGTCGACTGGCAGCGCAAGACGGGTCACCCGCACACGTACCTCCCTCGGGACATCTCGCCCGAGTCGATGCGGAGCATTCAGGAGGAGTGGCATGAGAACCAGAAGCGGCCTTACTCGCAACCAATGTTTCTGCTGCCCAAGGAGTCGCAGCAGTTTATCATGTCCAACCGGCGCTGTACAGTGAGCGGGGAGAATTCCACGTGCTGGCTCTTTGCACGCAAGTTCATCGGGCTGTCGCTGCGAGCTCTCATGGACCTTCCAAGAGACGTGCTTGGATATTAGCGAGTAATTAATTAGGGGCAGCTGGACGCTGCCCCATTACTAAATATGATTACTATAAATACACTCTACGCTCTGAGATTGCATATGCTGCTAGTTGTACTGATTTTCTAATTTTGTATTGATGGACTATGAGCCAAGTCCCTCATTCAAGAAAGACATTTTCCAACAGGACTGCCTTCCTTAGATTTGTCTGCTGGAGGAAAAGAACACGAACTGAAAAAGAGAGATCAGGAATTTTAAAAAAATTACTAGTACCACACTGTAACATAAAAACCTTGTTTTATGCTAAATTGGACTAGACAGCGTTGTGCAGTCGCCTATCTGGAGCGTACTTGAAGATGTGCATAACGCACCACCAGAAACGACAAACAAATGTGCAGGGCAGTCCCAGCCAGGTTTCCGACAGAAGTCGTCGCATCATCGGTCAGCATTCAAATTCTGTTTGGTTCGCCTGAGAGACCTGCACATCCGGAAAACTGTAGTGATCTGTTTGCACATGCCTTCATGTGTGCTGTTGGAAACACAGGCCCAAAAACGAACTACACCCTAATGCTCACTCAACCGCCCACTCTGACCATGCCCACTGCCACTCCATACGCCCAGTGGTCGACATTCACAGCCAACGGCCCGAACGTTACTAGCCCACGACAAAACCAAGATATTCGAGTTTACCAGACAAAACACGCTGGGCTACCCATAATTTTGGCAACTGTAGTCGATTTTGTCACCTTTGTTCTGCATTCAGTCCCATTTTGCCCCTAGAGGGCGCGTGCTCGAGAGAGGAGCATGGGGAAAGATGGGGAAGGAGACTGAAATGGGCATCAGGTGTACTGTACTGTACGTGTACAGCTCGTCGTCAGATTCGTGAACATCTGTTTCTGTCGTCTTCACTGTCTGACTCGTTACCTGTCCGCTTGCTTGCGGATGCTCAACGAGGTCTTCATGTTTTTCATTCTCAGTTTCCTCCTATCGAATCCGCGATAACCCCCGTCGAAGGCGGCAGTGCAAATACGTTCAGCAGATGATTAATCAGAGAATGGGTACAGCTGAAACATTATCAGTCAAGAATACCCTATCACAATGTTTTGATGCCTGGTCGTGTGCGGGATAAGACGACAAACAGCAGCCTCCGCTGACTTCCCATTTTCGCTCCTGCACTCCTGGTCGGGAAACGCCATAATCGTGAAATATATTTGTTTAGACACCTGGTCCCACCCATGTCGGCCCCTGCAGAACGACGCCGAAGGGCCACCAAGGGACAATCTGGGGCTCGTTTCACAGACCTCACGGCTGACGAGGTCTAGCAAGGCTGACATGATGTTGGACCCTCGTCATTCCTGAAGTTGGCTCGCTACGTGGAGGGAAATGGTTGACACTGATCCGAAATGGGTGTAGAATTGGCAGATAATAGAGTACCCTAAAATAATATAAAGTCTTCTCCGCCAACCCCTTCAATATAGGGGTTTTGTTTCCCACATGGAAAGATGCCCCTTTATTGACACTCTTGGAGTGACATTGCCAATGCCAAGTCAAGCCCTTGACTGGTCTCATCCAATGAAAGAATTCGCATGACTTTTTTCATTGACCGTGAAGTCAAGCCAATCTGATCCGACGTGGCTTCACCTGACAGTGACTTGCCTTCCCTCAACTCGCGCCACCGCTCAGACACTTTGTCAGAGATCGTACGAACAAGCGAAGTTCGACCCGATTCGCAAATCCGCGATGCGTTGATGCTCAAGTCAATTTTCTTACTTTCTTGATTTGAATCCAAGGCACCAGACACCCCATAAAGCTTCGTCTTACTGGGTAGTAGTAGTTCAATTTTCAGACTTTCTTGATTTGAATCCAAGCGACTTACTCGCCATCCTGTTCGGCAAGGAGACTCCAGCACTTCCTTGTTCCGAGTCTGAAAGCAAAAATGAAAACACGCGGCTCTTCGGGGTGTTTCGCCACTGGCAGAAGAGCCGCGGGAGCGACATCGTGGCTACTCGTTCTGTTCGCCGCGGTACTTCTGGGAGCACCTTCTTCGACGGTAGCACCGCATCCTGACGAGGACAAACCGCACGGCCCCTTGACACAACCCCGCGGATGTTACAAGAAATGCAACAAGCTTAAGCTGGGGTACTACATCAACAAATTAACTGACACGAGGGCGTCGGGACCACAAAATTTTCTCGGGAACTACAACTATGAGCGCTACGTTCTCGACCCTGCGGCCGCAACTGTCGTAGGCTCCTTGGAGACATCCGGGGTAATAATTCATTCAGCCCCAGTCCACCCCCCGTCGTGCATTCCGTCATTTACTGTCCCACCGCCAAAATCGCATGGCTGCGTTTTCTCCGTTGTCTTTGAGCAAGGGCAGCGGCTCGGCGGCGCGTCACTACAGTTCATGAGAACGCGGGAAGGTGGAGAGGCTGTGCACCTTCTGTTTTAACTTGGCCCCGTACTTCCCCGTCTCTCCTCTTGGCAGCACGGTCCCGAACTAGTGGAATGCTGCCAGAAGTGCGCCAAGAAGGTTGGCTGCAGGTTCTGGCATCTGAAACCTCCAATGAATGGCCAGCTGTAAGCATCGCCACTGATATTTCGTTATCCTTGTCATGCGATGACAAAGCATTGAATGGAGTACTGTTTTCTTGCCCTCACACCGTGTGACGAGCTTCTTGCCTTCAGTTCAGAATGCTTTTCACTGTGTGACTCGTCAACACCTCCGCTTCCCCCTCTCAAAACTATATTCTTATACCGCCGGCTAACTTCTTATCCCCCTCCCATGACACCGAGCAGTGGCCAATGCACGTTGCTGGGCTCATTGGCAGGCATCACCGTGCGGAACTGGGACGTGCCCATCCTACCAACGTTCTTGGGCGGAGAGTGCAACCCCCTTGCCAACACGGACGATGACCCGCATTTCCGGGGCGCAGACGGCACCCACTACGACTTCAACGGCCTTCTCGACCGCTCCTTCTGCTTGGTTTCCGACCGTCGAATCCACATCAACATGGGAATCAAGGGTTACCAGCCCATCGCGAATCTCCCCGGCACGGCGACATCATTGGACGAAGAGTCGCTCGCTGCAGCGCTGGAAGCGGCGTCCAATGAGAAGAAGCCACGTCATATCAGGCAGCTGGAGCAGGAGAGGCTGAGCGTGGAGGAACTGAGCGAGCTGGAGAGAATGCGGGCCAATGGGAGCCTGCCGTTGACCGATGAGGTGGTGACGGCACTTGAGCGGGAGATGGGCGGCAAAGAAGGCGGCGGGAGTGGAGGGGAAGAGCAGCAGCACCACTCGATTCAGTACGCAAAGCATGAGCTGAAGGCGAGGCTTCTGAAAGGAAAGCCGATTCGCAGTTGGATCAGGTATGGAAGTTCCATTGTGCAGCATGTGCCGAGTTTTTCAAATTTACGAGCCTCACGTTTTCAACTCGTGCCGCACTCATTCGTTGTGCCATGTTTTCATGAGCCTCACGTTCCCTTCTCATGCTGCACTCAATTCCAGGGAGCTCCAAGTGATGTGGCGCGATGCAACTGGCGTGCAGCACTCAGCGTTCTTTAAGGCGCGCGACGGCAAGGAGCAAGGGAGGGGCAGCAGTGGGTTCATCGACCGACTGGAGCTCGACGGCTCGCTGGTGGCCCCGCCTCTGACTGCAGGCTCTTCCGTCCTTGGCAGCGGTGGGTTCAAGCTGCTTCTGGCGGAAACACTGAGCTGCAAGGGGAAGGACGAGGACGAGTTTCATCTCACGATTGACGGCGTGGTGGACATGGGCATCTCGGCACGCGTGGCGCATCCGCTCATGCAGACGGCTACGGAAGCCCAGGCACATTTCAACGTGCACATCGCCCGGCTCAATGTGAGCAACCTTTTGATTGTTCGCTATGTGCTGGCTGTCCTGCCCGGCCGGTTCTGCCATGTTAACCATCCTTGCGATGCTACCCTTTTTGTCATTTTGTCCCACGCAACCACGCAACCCCATCTCCCCCCTACCCCCCTTCCTGTCCTTCCCTCTTTACCTCCCTTGTGCAGCACACGAGTGGCATTCACGGCGTGCTGGGTCAGACCTTCCGAGCCGAGGAATCCCGCAAGGTGCGCTCTCTGCGGTACCGCCTGCTGACCCGCCTGCTGCGCGAGCCGGTGGAGGTGGAGAGCGAGAGCGGCAGAGGATTTCTGGATGGGCGCACAGAGGACTACATCACCTCGGATATTCGCTCCGCGGATTGTATGTATGCTGCTGCGTGGCGGAGGGGGGAACACGAGAGCACCGAAGGAAGCGACTTCATGTGACAAGAGAGTGTGACATGCTGGGTGGTATAATAACCTTCTTACACTGGTCAGATATATATAGATAGCCTAAATAATGATTATGCAGCTATAGTGGCATGCCAAATTGTGGGGAGTTCAGGTTTTGTAAATCATGTGTGTTTTGTTTCTATGTTTTGTAAGGTAATATCCCAAGTAATATGATCCACCTCAATGGAGTAGGTGCAGTGAGCATCTGGATCAATCAGACAGAAATGTTTGGAAGTTGCATTGATATCAGTCCTTCCTCTCTAATACAGCTTCACTGCTGACATTAGGGATAACATTCATCCCTCTTCACCACTGACTTGCCAATGCGACTGCATTACACCAGAGAACCTCAAAGACCTCAGCTGAACCACCGCTGCTAAACTAACTATCACCGCAGCACCACCACTGAACTAAGCTCCACCACCTGTCTGTCGTCCTGCAGCAAAACCCTTGGTAGTGCACGACGGTGTGCAGGCAGTGAGCAATGATGATCAACGTGCATGCAGCAAATGCACCTCCCAGCATCGCTGCCTGCATCGACCTGACTGTTGCCGTATCCACATCTGGTGTAGCCGCATTCAACAAGTTGTGAAATCATATTTGTATCTTTATGAGATATCCTAGACTACACTGAGGTACATAGTATATGGTACATCTTCTGTTCGGTTCGCTTGAGAGACCTCCACATTCGGAGTTTCTGTTTGCACATGCCATCTTGTGT